CCAGCTTGCACGCCATGCGCAAGTAGACTACACACGACAAGACGGGAGGACCCAGTCTCCTGGCGCTTGATTAGCTTTTAAGGTTATAAATAAAACAGCAGATAAAGTTATCTAACATTTTATAAAAATATTTACAAAAACTTACAACTAACGGAGTATTGAATTGCATTAGGCATATAAAATGTGGTAACAGGAGAAGTTATGTCCGAGTAGTGGAGTCCGCCGACAGTCGTTGACAATAATATCTTGTTGTCCCGAGGCTTACCGCTTACTTATATTAAGACGTGGTTTTCTTTTACAAAATGCATTTGATGGCAAGGCTTAGTAATTAATCAATAAATAAATGAATAAATACTTATCAATAATACTTTTACGATAATTTCAGACACAATACTAATAGAATTAAATTGACAGTCCAGACACCGCGTGTGGTGGAGTGGGCAGCGGCCACTACCAAGCTCTCTGACTGATTCTCGATACCGTCTTCTGGATTAAAATGATTCACAGAAGTGTCAATCTCTTTTCCAGTTTGTAAGTGTACCATTTTTATATTACGTTTTGATCTATGTTTGTTTTCATTTTCGTCACTATTTTCTTTGCTGTCGTATTCTATATCATGAAAGACGGAGTGCTGGTTACTATTTTCATTTTTGTGTCTGACATTTATTCTATGATTTCCTCCGTCATGAGATTCGTTTATGTTTGTATTACTTTCCTTGGGCACAAGCGAACTGATAAGCTTTAAGTGGGTCACGGGAAGTCGCGAGGAATGTAGAGAATCTTTTTTAATATGCTCATCCACTGGTGGAGGAATTTTTCCTTTAAATGGACCGAATTGGGGCATCTTTAGGAGCAATTCCGTGTTAGCGGGGAGTTTGGAAGAGAAGAGTTTGGTATTAACTCTATTAATGTCAGGTAAGCTCGTCAGCGTGGCCGCAGAAATAGTCTTCCCGTCGTACGTTGTAAACGTTTGCTCCAGCAACAGTTTTTGGGAATGATCTTTGGGCAATTTAGGATCCGGCGGCAAATATTGCGGACTGACTCTGTCGGACTCCATGACTAAGTCGGAGGACAAATCCTTGTTCATGTTTTTCTTTCCAAATAAGGCATTTAATTCGCTTTCAGTTTTAACAT